CTGCTTGACACATGGATAGATAGCTACATAAAAGCTCCAACCATCATCCAAGAAAAAAAATAAGCACAATTAAAGCCCTGGCAGACCATGCAAAAAGAATCTGCGAACCCCAACTCCAAGGTGAACTGAACCACCTAAACTTGGTTCTACAGGTCAGTGGATACTCCACCACAGATATCAGAAGAGCTGCAAGACCGAAACAAGCCACAAGAGCAAAGACAAAAATCCCCACAGAGGAAAAGTGTTCTTACCATACATCAAGGGAACCACTGACAGCATAGGGAAGCTGATGAAGGAACACAACCTACAAACTATCTATAGAACCACTAAGAAAATCCAAAAAATGCTATGTTCAGCAAAGGACAAGAGGGATCCGTCTCACCTCTGCAATAGTCTACCATATACCATGCAGCTGTGGACAAGCCTACATAGGGACCACCAAGCACAGCATTGCCAAACACGAATCAAGGAACATGAAAGGCACTGCAGACTACTACAGCCTGAGAAGTCAGCCATAGCAGAGCACCTGATGAACCAACCTGGACACAATGTATTATTTGAGAAGACAGAAATGCTGGACCACTCTAACAACTATCATGTTAGACTACACAGAGAAGCCACTGAAATCCACAAGCATGTGGAAAATTTCAATAGAAAGAAAGAAACCATGTAAATGAACAAAATCTGTCTACCAGTGTAAAAAACTATCAAAATCAGGACAGTCAATAAAGAACAACACCCAAAAAACAGGGGAATTTCATTCAAGAATCAATCAAGACCAGCTAACACCTCTCATCATAGGATTCCCCTGGACAGCAACCAGCCAGGCTTTGAAGATACAAGACCATTCAATGCGAATCAAGGTGGCCAATTGCACCATTCACACTTGCCTCAAGCAGACAAGCACTCTTTCTCCCACCGTGGACATTCCACAGATATATAAACCTCACTTGCCTAATTTCCAACAGACCCCTCAACCTCTGAGGATGCCTGCCATAGATGTGGGTGAAATGTCAGGAGAGAAGGCCTCTGGAACATGGCCATACAGCCCAYAAAACTCACAGCAACCCAAAATAATGATGATGATGATGATGATGATGATGATGATGATGATGATGATGATGATAATGATTTAAAGATTGAACTGCAAAGGCTCTGGCATAAACCAGTACAGGTGGTCCCAGTGGTCATTGGCACACTGGGTGCCATGCTAAAAGATCTCAGCCAGCATTTGGAAACAATAAACATTGACAAAATRGTGATCTGTCAACTGCAAAAGGCCACCTTACTTGGATCTGTGCACATTATTCAAAAATACATCACACAGTCCTAGACGCTTGGGAAGTGTTCGACTTGTGATTTTTTGATATGAAATCCAGCATATAGATCTCATTTSCTGTGACATACTGTGGTGTCAGTAAAATAATAATAATAATAATAATAATAATAATAATAATAATAATAATAATTAGAAGGGATCTCTTTGATTGCTTTTCTTTGGGCATAAGAATAAGTTAAAGGTAATTTGCAGGGGAGAGGCGAATTTTTCAATATGCATCATACAAAATATTTTGTGCAGGATCTCAGCAAGCATTTTTACACACTGCTTGAAGATGGAAAACAGCTTTCCTGGAAGTGGAGATACTGGGAGGCACTTAGAAGCTGTTCCATCTCCTCTCTCCAAGCAGTTTTAAGAGCCCTGACTAGCACTCCTTTCCTCAAAGGCCAACTGGGCTGAAAGTGATAGCGGTCCTGTTGGTTTCAGTAGCCACATCTAGAATGGCAAAAATCCTTGTGCAGCCCTGAATTAAAGCTATTCGCAGAATTAGCAAATACTTATCGCCTAAATAAAGCAGAGGTTCCATGCAATGTGGTGTAATTTTAAGAGTATAGATGGCTACTACAGGATTCTACTTTATCTAAAGATGAATATAATGTTAAGTATACATGTCTTCCCTAACCCAAAACTGGTTTTGGAGAACAACTGAAATAATATATCTTACAGAAACATTGTAAGGCTTGCAAATTTTTTCTTATTTACTGTATTTACTGTATTTTCTTATTTACCTCCTCCCTAATATTGTGGACTAAAACCATTACAAGACCACATCAAAATCCAATAAACATGTAATAGATGTTTAGAGCAGCATTACAAAAACAGCACCGTGTCCAAAAGCATTCCGTAGGTACATATCTGATTTTTGAAGGGAATGTCTACATCAGTGGTCCTCAACCTGTGGGTCCCCAGATGTTTTGGTCTTCAACTCCCAGAAATCCTAACAGCTGGTAAACTGGCTGGGATTTCTGGGAGCTATAGGCCAAAACACCTGGGGACCCACAAGTTGAGAACCAATGGTCTACATAAAGCACAAGTTTGTATCTCGAATCTCAGATTAAAGTAGGCAAACAGTATCTTCATCTTGTCTAGTCTGAGCCTTAATTTGTTCACCCAAACTTGACACTAGCACCACCACCTCCCCATCCACCCCAACGCCTAAACAACCTCTCTAAGAAACTCACTCATTTATTAATAAGTCAAAACAGAGTTCTGAAATCCACATAGCAAAGGCCAAAGAGTAAAGCGTAACCACATCTCCTAGCACTTCTTCCTGGTATTTCCCCACCAGACAGGTCCAGAAACATCACAGAATTTTACCTCCTGTTTTCATATTAACTAGCCATCCCAGGAAGATATTAACTAGTACAAGCATCCTGGAAGTATCCTCCCATTAGAGGAGTCACCATATGTCTCACATTCCCAGATGGCACAAAACACTCCAGAAATTAGTCTTAATGCAAAAGCTCACAGAACATAACCTTACTGGGCAAAAGCACACTGATAATCTCATTGAAAACTGTTATGCACTCATGGTTTATGCCAGTAATCACTAAACCTATCAACATTTTGCTAAACTACATTAGTCATTCTAGTTCACTGTTGTGTCATTTAAAATGTTCACAGTTGTTCCAGTATAAACTGTTTTCTTCTTCCTCCTGGAAGATTACTGCTTCTGTAGCTGTACTAATCATATCACATATCATATCACATTTGGGTTCAGTGCACTGTTATGCCTTCTGTACATTAACAGGGCTTAATTTGGTGTGTTTTTTCTTACTGTTAAGGTAAGGTAAAGATTTCCCCTGAGATTAAGTATAATTGTGTTCAACTCTGTGGGGTGGTGCTCATCTCAATTTCTCAGCCGAAGTGCCGGTGTTATCCGTACACACCTCCAAGGTCATGTGATTGGCATGACTGCATGGAGCGCCATTACCTTCACACCAAAGCGGTACCTTCTGATCTACTCACATTTGCACGTTTTCAAACGGCTAGATTGGCAGAAGCTGGGGCTAACAGTGCAAACTCACCCCACTCCCCGAATTTGAACTGCTGACCTTTTGGTCACCAAGTCCAGCAGCTCAGCAGTTTAACCTGCCGAACCACCAGGGGATCTTATGAAAACCAATTTAAAAGACAATAAAATGAGCAAAGGCTGGTAGTTTTATGTTATGATCAGCTTCAAATATAGTTATTCTGTTATTTAGCCACCTTGAGTCCTCATGGGAAAACAGGTAGGGTACAAATAAGGTTAATAAATAAATTTAAAGGATAATTACAGTAAGGCCTTTTCTTAGGTAGACTGACATACGACCTAGCACAGAGCTGGGAATGTTTACTTTGAAAAGGCGCGGCTGGCGGGGACGAGGGACAGGGCCTTATCGGTGGTGGCCCCTCGGCTATGGAATGCCCTACCCGTAGACATCAGGCAGGCCTCTTCGTTGCTGGAGTTCCAGAGGAAGGTCAAGACGTGGCTCTATGAACATGCGTTCGGTCAACAAGGCAACTGAACTCATGAAGACGGTATAAATGAACAAAGGAACGGTAGAAGGATTATGAGAACAGAATCTGATTTTCACTGAGGCGTTGATGACTATGTTGTGTTGTCTTGTATTGTCTGTCGTGTATGCTGTGTTTTAACTAATTGTTATTGTAATAAATTGCATTGTAAACCGCATTGAGTCACCGAATTAGGCTGAAAAATGCGGTATAAAAATGAAGCAAATAAATAAATAAATAAATAAATAATAAATAAATAAAATAAAAGGAGAAGACCGAGAGGTGGAATGACAGCCATTTAAAAATATCTGAAGAGATGTCATATAGAAGAGGGAGCATTTTTTTTCTTTTTTGCCACTCCATCTAAGACACAAACCACTAGGTTCAAATTAAAACATTCCATCAAGCATGAGGAAAAAGTTCTAATGGTAACCATTACACTATGTAACATGATTTTTGTTCCTGGGTTATAAATGCCATTTCCTTATTGGTGCTATTATAAAAACATGGGAAAAGTTTATTAAATTGCAAAAACTTTGGTTTTGTGGGACATCCTGCAGCACATTTTCTGTAGTTTTCAATGACTATCTCAGAGTGCTTTAACCAATTCAACATAGTTTGTGGCAGCCATAAAAACAAAGTTTTCGAAGTATAACAACTACTTTCAAAGTAAGTAGTGCCATACAGTTAGGGATGAAATAACACTTTCAAACCAGGACAATTTTTTCCCCCAAATTTTGTTACATAGTGTTATTTCACAATGCACTGTCTTGGAAGTTTGTAGACTCTTCTAGTAATATAGGGAATGTATAGCCTCAGTAAGAAGAAGTCTGGATCAGCTATTGTTGTAGAGTAAGCCCATGGTTTGTGCCTAATTTTATCCATTTGTTTTGCACATATAACAAGCAAACCTCATGTCTGCACCGTAAAAGATCTCACAGAATGGTAGCCAATGTTCATTCATTCAAAGTCAGAACATTACTTTTTTTAGAGCACAGTTCCAAGAACTCCAAAACCATAATGATGACTCTAGGAGTTTCAGGGTATAACAAAAGCTATCATAAGCTGTGATCTGAACTCTGGGAATAAAAATCAGAGAATTAGCGAAGTTCATAATAGTTATTCACTACCATCCACCACCAAAATTTACACTTCTCCCACTTACCTCCTGAGGTTCTTGATACTGGGAGGCCAATAGTAGAAATGTTCTTTGTGCTTGAAAAGCTGAACGGACCATTTCTGCCTGCAGGAGAAAACGTAAAGTAAACTGAGTTGTCACTATTAAAAACAAACATTGACTAATTGGTATAAGCATATCATTAATATGTTAAATGTGGAAATAACAAATTGCAAGTGGAATAATATAGATAAAATTGAAAAGGTTACAATAACTAAGAGTATGTGGGAACCAGTTAGGAATCATTTAGAGAATGTGCTAAGATGTGGAGTGGAAAAATTAAGACTGAAATTGATATTTCAAATGTAACTTCTGTAGTTTGCTGTATAAACTGCATGTACAAGGAGGGGAGAGTGGAAGTGGGATAAAACAATAAAACAACAATAAAAATATTTTTAAAAACTTTTAAAAACAAACATTTTTACTTGGGATTTCTTCATTTGAGTCATTAATAGCAAAACCTTCTCTGAGCGCACATCCAAACAACACCCAAAATGCGTGTCCTCCCGCGTTTTTCCCTGGAGTGTCCAAACAGCGCCTCAGTTAAAAACAAATTCCTTCAGGACAAAGCAGGAAAACCCTGCATTGTTTTGAAGTAATTTGACAGCTGGAAAGACCCAGGTCTTTCCAGCTGCTGGTGTTGTGTGCAGGCCCATAGCCAGGATTTCGTTTTGGGGGGGGG